GGGGGGGGGGGGGGGGGGGGGGGGGGGGGGGGGGGGGGGGGGGGGGGCACGCGGTCGGTCAGAAAGGAGCGCTATGGTATGGCTAATGAGCTCGCGCCCGCACACACATATCCGAACGGAGAGTTAGCGTTCCCGCCCTTCCGTAATTTGGTCATGTTTGTGCGGTACACAGGCGTTATCGGCTGGCGCTGGCACCCCAGTGCCTACTGCTGGTGGTGGTGATGGAGTTGCAACGGGAGGAAAGGGTGGGGCGACGGTGGCGGTGGCCAGAGGGGGGGCGGAAGAAGGGAAGGATGCGCAGGGGGTGGGGGCGACTTGGGGCACCGAGGACGTGGAGGCCCAACAGGTACATACCGTAGAAGCCCCTCGGCTGTTGCTATTGTGGAATGTTGCTGTCATGTGGCATTCTTGCGGTTGGTTGTGTGCACCGGATATGCGTGTGTGTGATTGTGGCGCTGAAGGAACTCCATTGGTTCTGATTGTTGTCTTTGTGTCCCTGTAAGGACGACGAACCTGTTGCTATCGACGGCAACGAACGCACAGCTTCCGAGCATTGGTGCTTGGCAATGGGGGGTGAGAGGCGGCCGAGCACGCGTTCCGACAAGAAACACTCTATTCTGTCGCGCGCAGATTCTCGACATCCTAGAGGATGACTACCGGGAGGGGGTGAAGTCTCACGAGGTGGCGACTGTCGCCGCTGCGGGGGAAGGGCTGCCGCCCGAAGACTGCGCCGCCGCCGCCGATGCCGGTTCGAACGCCGTAGCCGACATGCGGAACGTCCCGCCGCCGGAGGAGGCGGCGGCCTTTTCTTCTCCGCGCCAGGTGCGTTGTGCCTGCGGTGTGCGCACGTTGCCCCCACTTGGTTGTTCTTGAAATGGCGTACACCCTGTTGTTGGTGTGATGTTTTTGTAAGGTCTCAAGTTGACTTTTAGCTGTTTCCATTGTCGTCAACATCTTTCGATGTTCGAAACATGAATTCGACAGAGGATGAGAGTCGGGTCGGATTCGACCGACGCAGCTGCTAAAGAGCGTTTTCTTTTCTTCTCGGAACCAGGTGCGATCAACCTCTCGCGCCTCGTGTCTTCGGCCTTGTACAACTCATTTGTGGCGTCCTTGCTGCCATTGTTGTGGCGGTGCCCGTGAGCGTTTTCGCGTATATCTTGGCCGGCGTAGCCGTCCAGCAGTAGTTGTTTCTGTTGCTTCAAGGCCAGCGGCAGTTTGCTGAACTGCGGTGCGTTCAAATGACACACGGCTCTCGGCGTTTTTGGCATGCTTTGAAGTTGATGCCGACCTGGTTTGTTGCTTTTCGTGCCAACGACCAAAAGGAGGCATCCCTGTACCTTCGTACCAAAGGAGGGTACCCTCCGTACCAACATTGAGCATCCTTCGTTCGACGTCTGTAACTAAGTTAGTCCCGGCCAGAGTATGGGTGACGGAAGGACTCGTCTAAGACCCTAGAGTATTCTGTATGACGTGTGGTGGCGCTGTCAAGGGGAGTCACCTTGCTCGGAACAGTCAGTTCTAACTAGTACGATGGTTTGATTTCGGCTTCTATAGGTCCAATGAGGGTACCCTCTGCAGTTTCGTGACAAAAGGAGGCATCCTCTCTGTACTCTCCGGGCCAACAAGTAGGTACCCTCTGTACTGTCTCGGGCGTAGAAGAACGTCCGGATTGAAAAGAGGGCAACCCGTGCTGCCGGGACCTACGTACGTTGAACACTATGCGTACGCGCCATATCGTACTGTAAGGACCCAGGGACACAAGCAGTGGCGAAAGGTATGGGATGGCTTGCCGAAGACCAAATACGGAGGGACCTAAGGGACATCTAGAGCCTTCACAGTAGCAAATGAAGCAAACATGACTAAATAGCTCCCGGTCAACCATAGTCAACGAGTCGATGTGACATAGGGACGTCCCCAGTACACCGACGGGCAATTGGTCGGGTTTAGGCTTGGGATGAGGGTTCCCTGAGGTCATCCCCGGGATAGTAAAAACTAACAGGGCGGGGCTTTCTTGTCGAACTTCCTTTCGATCGTGCATCGACAGACTGCCGTGCGTGAACGAAACCGCCCGGTCTCGAAACGGTACAACGATGGGTTGCGTGCTACAGGACTACAGCAAGACAACAGTCGGTGAACCCTCGGCGCATGGTGCTAGTCTGTCGCTCTGCGCATGATGCTGTTCTGTTACGCTGCGTGCGGGAAACTGATCCGCCTGCCGATACGACGCAGCAGCATGAATGCCTCGGAAGTTGCACAATCGTCTCGTAACCTCTGCAGTTTTGGCATGCTGCTGTACCGTGCCGTATGTGTTGTTTTTCGCGACGTAGCGCGGCTCAACGGTGGGAGGAGGCAACAGCGCCACCATATGCGGACGGTGCCAGATAGAGCGACCACCCGGGGCTGTCCATTGCAACCTCTGCGGCGTCTGCGTGCAGAAGCTGGATCACCATTGCCCTTTCATGGGGCAGTGCGTCGGCAGGTGGGTCGATGCGTATCGTCGTGGTCTAGAGCGAAACCCAAGGGCTGGTTTAGTAGTTTTCCTATCTTGGTGCTACCGCCTTCTGGGCGGAGTCATGAAGTTCATTCAGCACATGTTTTCGTACACGTTTTGTGTAAATGGCAGCGTTGCCTTGAAATCGATGCTGATACTTGGCTAAAAAGCTCGTGCATCCTTGACTTCAAGCTAAGACGTCCGTCGTGTTTTCATGAGAAACGCACTGCGGAGACTGCATCGCACCAGTTTTGCGGTCTCTCTCATCTGTTCCAGTGCTTGTTGATATCGTATTTTTCAGATTTCCCGCCCATACCCATAGTGTGCCAACAGCAAGTGAGAGTACTTTCATCACAGTGTACCCCCGCCGTCCGACTGCAAGTGATTTTCTGTAGTTTATTGTCGACAGGGGCTAAATTTTGCTGGGGTTGGCCATTGAATCCCCGCCTCCACTCCTTCCAGCGCGACTTTGTCTGGCTCCTCCGGTGCCACAGTTGAAACTGTAACGAAGGTTGAGAGGCAGAATACCCCACCGGCGAACGAAACAGTAGCACGCTCGCCTCCTTCCGACCGGGCAAGGAACATGTTAGGCCCTGGAGTAGTATGTATAGCCACGCATGCAAGTGGGTAATGACGTTACCCCCCGCCGCCGCCGCCGCCACGCTGTTTCGCAGGAAAACCCTCGTCCCGTTTTACTTGTTCGTGGTATCCGTCTGGTCTCTTATTGTCTACGTTTTGCTTGCCGTAGCTTATCTTGTTGTCGCAGTCTTGTCCAATGGGTTGTAGCCCCCCCCCGCAGCCACGACTCGGTTCGTGCCGCAAGTTGGCATTGACCTTTCCATTTCGGCAGGACTATAGGTGGCGGGTCCGGGGCGTGCTGCTGAGCGCGTAGAATGGATGCCTGATGATGGTTTCTCCGTGGAATTCGGGTCTGGAGGCCATACTGTCGAAATCGCTAGTCTTGGTAGACGGACCGCTGCCTCTAGCTTTTGATCCCCCCCCGGTCTTTGCGGCTTCGAATGCGAAGACCGTGTTCATGTAGTCGCGGAATGTCCGTTGTACAAGAAGGAGAGGGAAGTGTACGTGACTGAGCTGGGAAAAATAGATGGAACGTACAGGGAGATGTTTGAGGCATGGAATAGAGAGGAAAGGACGGTA